GTTAAGCAACTCGTCAAGAGATTTGTGCGCGTTATTAATCAGTTACAGTATTCTTATTGTATCTGATGATATCAAACATTCCCAATATTCAAATACCGCCACGTAGAGAACCAGATCATCAGGAGGTCCCCCAAGCCACCGTAGTCGCTCAGTTCCGCGACTACCACCGGGAGAAATTCTCCGGCTAGGGAGATCCTCGAATTGTTGACGAATGGGTTCAAGGCCTTGAAATGATTTTCGAGGTCATGGACTGTCCCGACCGCTATCGTGTTTTATGCGCACAGATCTAATTGACGGGTGACGCACGTCTCTGGTGGAACGCTTACTTAAAAATGTGTCCCGGTGAAAAGGAAGGTTGTACGTGGGACAGGTTCAAGGAGTTGATTCGAAAAAAATATTACCCCGCGTACTATCGAGCTGAAATGGAGCATCAATTTCTGGCACTCGAACAATGTACTCGTACGGTGGACAAGTATGAGCGAGAATTCACTCGACTTGGAGCCTTTGTTCCTGATCTGGTGAGCGCCGAGGCAAAGAGATCGAGACGTTTCACTGACGGGCTTTTGCCAGCAGTCCGTCATAACATTGTAGGTCACAGCGTCCAGACCTATGCACGTACTATCACCATAGCCCGGGAGGTTAACGCCAGCATCCGAAGGGAGGCCAACCACGATCGTCTTCAGCCAATTGCCCTTGCCCCATCATCGTCAGCCCCATCTATTCAACCAGCTGCTGCCCAACAACCAATGGACAAGAAGAGGAAGGGGAAAGGCTTCCAGACTGATAGGAGGATCTGTCTGAGACAACCAGGAGCAGCCAGGCCACAACAGATTCCACCATGCACTACCTGTGGACGACCCCATCGAGGGGAATGTCATTTCAGACAGGACATTTGTTATTACTGCCATCAGCCCGGACATTTTGTCAGCAACTGCCCAGAGCGACCGCAGCCATGACAGCAACCACCGCAGCAGCCACAACAGCAGCAGCCCAGACAACAGGCCCCAAGGCCACCCCAGCAGCAGCAGAGGGGCAGACAACAGGCTCGTGTTTATGTTGTTGACCAGGCCGAGGCAGAGCAACACCCAGGTACTATGTCTGGGATGGTTATGCTAAACGATGTTATTGTTTTCGCCTTATTTGATACTGGAGCAACTCACTCTTTTATATCGCGACGATGCCTTGATGCCATCGGAGTACATTCTATTACTGCTGTCGATCCTCTCGAGGTGAGTTTAGCCTCGGGACGAAAGATAGTGACTGATGCTAAAGCTACAGATCTCAGCCTTTCTATTGGTGGTGGTATATTGACTACCGACGCTTATGTTCTCGAGATGAGGGACTTTGACCTTATTCTCGGTATGGATTGGCTA